CAGTATTAATGAACAACAAAAAAAGAACAGGACAGGAACTTTCTCAATCTTAGCAGGGCTACACACTGAGGCATTCTGCTAGATCTCCCTTCTTGACCTCAAGTAGTTTACCATATCCTTATGTAACAATCAAAAAGCTTTATTTCACAAATACTTTTCTAAAATAAGCATGAATGCCACCAATCAACTAAACAGGACTGAAATTCTGTTTTAGGGTATCAGGATTAAAACACTTAAATTATCCAAGTACACCTAATCTATTTTGGAAAATAGCCACAGTATGCTGGATGCAATAGCTCATGCCTGTAATCCTAGCACTTTGGAAGGAGGAGGAAGGAGGATTGCTTGAGCCCAGGAGTTCAAAACCAGTCTAGGCAAAGTAGTAAGACCTTGTCTCTAGAAAAAAAAAATCAAAAAATTAGCTAGGTATGGTGGCATGCACTGTCCTAGTTACTTGGGAGGCTGAGGTGGAAGGATCACCTGAGTCCAGAAGATCAAGACTGTGGTGAGTCATGATTATACCACTGCACTCTAGTCTGGGCAACAGGGTGAGACCCTAACTCAAAAAAAAAAAAAAGAAAGAAAAAGAAAATAGTCACAGTCACAGAAATGGACAATTTCTGAAATCATATCATATAAGAAACAAAGGAATATTTCATTTTTAATATTTCAACATGAAAAAATTGCACTATAAAATGCACCAAATCTTCTCATAACAATTTCCTGGTTCCAACACTGTGTCCCTAGTCATCAATTCTAAGACAAGTGGTTCATAGTAAATTAACTTCTCGTTTCTACTTAGATCCCTATTCAAGACTACTCGACTTCAGAAAACCTTTCTGTAACTGTAAAGCCTCAATGTTTGGAACTAAGATTTACATTTTTATGGTTTTATTTGTCCTGGATGTGTCGTCTTTGTATCTGTATAATTTTAAAAGTCCCAATTAGGTGAGACATTTTTCAAAGACCAGGACTATATTTTCTATTTCTTAGGCATCTACCTCTAAAGACAGCACTATTAAAAGCAAAATGGGAAAGGCAGAAGCTTGACAGAAAACACATGAGTTATGAAGCCAGTTCTGCCACCTACTGGCTTGATGACCTGTGTCTTAGATACCTTTACTAGTAAAATGAAGATTTAAAATATCCATTTTGAATGTTAACCAAATTCAACAAAATAGTATAGGTAAAGCATGTGACACAAAGTAGACAACTTGATAAAGAATACTACTGATAAGAGTAATCTAAAGCTGCTACTACATTTTTGCTAATATAGTCTCCCATACAATTACATACAAGGGGAACCAAAAAAATGGAATTACCTTTTGGAGGAAGGGGCCCTTGTGGTACAGGCCTCCCCCACGAGTTAAGTGTTCTAGAAATCCATCAGCATCAGTGTACCAGTTAGCGTTATTGTGAGGGGCTGTGTTCAGTTTCAGTGAATTTTTTTTTTGGAGATTCTTTCAACATATTTGCCATTTCATGATGCATTTACAAGCACACCTTCCCACACCGTGCTAAGTGTTCAGCAATTTTTCACCAAAAACAGCATGACCCCAGTGTCCAACACTTCCTATTCACCGGATCTCACCCGGAGCAACTATTTTTGTTTCTCGGATGAAAAAAGTCCTCAAGGGAAATGTTTTGTCGATGTGAAAGAGATGAAACAAAAAACAGCAGAAGCACTAAAAGGCATCAAAATTGACAAGTTCAAAAACTGTTTTGAAAGCAATGGAAAAAGCGTCTTGATAAGGAACACAGCATCAAACCAGAGTACTTTAAAGGTGACTAAAGTTTAAACATGTAACAATAAGTACACAATTTTGTAATAAATAAGTTCCAGGGTTTTTAGGGTCACCCTTGTAAAAATCTCTTTTCATTCTTTATCAGCAAACTTTAAAACCAGTTTCAACTGGGTACTTTGGAAGGCCCAGGCAGAAGGATCACTTGAGGTCAGGAGTTCGAGATCAGCCTGGGCAGCATAGCAAAGTTGTCTTTGAAAAAAAGAAAAAGAAAAGTTGCACAGTAATGCAAGCCGATGGTCTCAGCTACTCAGGAGGTTGAGGCAGCAGGATCACCTGAGCCCACAAGTTAGAAGTTACAGTGAACTATGAGCACATCACTGCACTCCAGCCTGGGCAACAGAGCAAGATCCTATCTCTCTTTTTTTAAATTGGAGTCTAACTCCATCACCCAGGCTGGAGTATAGTGGCATGCACTCCAATCCAACCAATCCAAAGTCGACCTGCTGGGCTCAGGCAATCCTTCCGCCTCAGCCTTCCAAGTAGAGAGAATTACAGGCACGCGCTACCACACCCAGCTGATTTTTTTAAATCATGATTTATTGTAGAAATGAGGTCTCGCCAAGTTGCCCAGGCTATTCTCCAACCCGTGGGCTCAGATAATCCCCTTACCTCAGACTCCCCAAGTGCTGGAAGCCACCACACCTGGCCAACCCTGTCTCTAAAGAAGAAGTAAGAAAAAGTCTTGTTCCCTTCTCCGCCCCCTAGAAATCAATTAGATGTAGAAGAACTACATATAATAGACACAATCTGCCAGCTCTTTTTTCTCTCCCTTCAACAACTATCACCAAATTACACTCTCATATATTCACAGCACTCATTTATTATAAAGTTGATCCATGTGAGAGTATCATTTTTATATATCAAAACTGGTCAACTTATTGGTCATTTCCATTTGTTCAACCTGTAACTTACATGCTCAATAAGCACGTTAGTGATCCCAGCCTGGGATTCATTTGTTATACATAAGCAACTGCCAAATGAGGGCTTTAAAATAAAGAGAAGTTTAGAAGTTCATTCTTATTTTAATGCCTTTACTTTTAGACTTTTTTTTTAACCAACAACACTTCTGACACCAAATGAGGATGCTTTTCCCCCCTGACACTAACCAATCCTCCAACTCTGTCCTACAGTTCAGTTCTGACACAACCTACCCGGACCAGCACAGACTCACAGGTGAAGAGCTCAGGGTAATACTGCCTCCACTTCAGACACCAGTCGCAAGGCCCAGGCTCCCCCTGTACTTCTCTGATCAACTGGCTATACGTTGAGGGTTTCCATGACTCTCTCCTCAGGTTTGATAACTTTCTAGAACAACTCACAGAAATCAGGAAAACCGTTGACTTACTATTACTGGTTTATCATAAGGATACAACTCAGAAAACAGCCAAATGGAAGCACTGCATAGGGACAAGGTATAAAAGTACTAGAGGGAGGGGAGACACAGAGTCCCCATGCTCTTTCTAACCACTGTAAGCTCTCTGAGTTCTGTCAGTTAGGGGTTTTTATGGAGGCTTTATTACATAGGCATGATGGATTAAATCACTGGCACTGGTGATTAAGTCAATCTTTGGTCCCTCTCCTCCTAAGAGGCAGGGGGAGAAGACTGAAAGTTCCAACCTTCCAATCATGCCTTGGTCTTTCTGGTGACCTGCAACCATCCTGAAGCTATCTAGGAGCCCCGATCCACCAGGCACCTCATCCACATGCAAAAGATTTATCATGCTGGAAATTCCAAGGGTTTCAGGAGCCATATGCCAGGAACTGAGGACAAAGACTAAATATAAATTTATTATCACAACTTTGTGCAAAGTTCTTCCTAAAACTTAGTTAACATCCTGAAGAAATTTCCAAGCAAAAACCTACATAACATTTTAGGATTACTTTCTAGATTATGAAAAACATAAATCAGGAAGAGGTGATCACCAATTAAGGATCATTATACTGATATGTAAATCTAAGCATACAATTAAAGACCTTCAGTATCTCCCAGAGGATGACTAACATTTCAAGAGTCAACAATGTTCAAAGCTAGGAACCTCATGAGTACAATGTCTAAGCTAAAGACCCAAATACAGGAGACAAAATTTTCTGCCAGAGAAATTTTGAGAATTCTCAACAGACTCTACCTCAAAGTTTTCAAATCCAATTCACAATAAAAAATCACCAGTTTTTTTTTTTTTTTTAAAAGATAAAATCGCCCTGACTCTAAGAGATTTGGGTCATAATGACGAATGCAATAAAAGTTCCCCAGATGCTTCTAATATGCATTTAGAGTAGCAAACCACTGTTCTACACCCTACATTTAATAAATAAAAACTAAATTCTGAGAAGAAAAATATGCTTTCCTAGACCAGGTAAAGTTCCAGAGTCTTTAGTCTACCAGAGTAGAAGAATGGTACTATTCAGAATAATCTAATTAAAATGAAAATCAGGCAACCCTTTCGGGTCCTCTCCCACTGTAGGAGCTTTTCTGTCCTCTCAATAAATCCTGCCTTAAAAAAAAATGACAATCATACAAACATTCATGGCACAGTTCCATATACAATTTCCACTGTAAGAAAATATCACCCCACATTACCAGGTAGACAATATGTGTACCAACAAATATTTATCTAATTCCTAGTATTTCAAGTATTGTAGAAGGGTTTACATACTAGAGAGATTATTGTCAATAACTGTAAAACATGGCCAGGCACAGTGGCTCACACCTATAATCCCAGCACTTTGGGAGGCTGAGGTGAGAGTATTGCCTGAGCCCACAGGTTCAAAACCAGCCTGGACAACTTGGTGAGACCTCATCTCTACAATAAATCAAAAAATCAGCCAGGCATGGTGGCACATGCCTGTAGTTCCAGCTACTCGGAACGCTGAGGAAGAAGGATCGCCTGAGCCCAGTAGGTCAAGGCTACGGTGGCCGGGGTTGTGCCACTGCACTCCAGTCTGGGCAACAGAGTAAGACTCCAACTCAAAAAAAAAAAAAAAAAAAAACCTGTAAAGCATAAAAGGAAATTTGAAGTATTTCACTAGGATCACCATGGTAATTTTCAATTACTGATATTCCCTCATGTTAAAAACATCATAACTTGTTGAATTTGAAATAAAACATTAACAGTTTAATTTACATAAATTTAACCAATCAGCTAAAAAGAAACCATAAAAATATTTTAAAGTAATCCAACTTAAGAATAATCTTACTGTTCTAGAATCCGAGAATGGATTATATTCATCAAGTCCTGGTGGAACATTTCTTGTCACCTGTGTAACTGATGGGTCCTGGAATAAAATTCAAAGGAGAAAAAAGATTACTTACCCTTTAAGACATAATTTTAATATTTACATAGCATTTACTTTGTCTATACTTTTGGTCACCCAGCAAAGCTCATAAAGGAAAACAAAGGAAGAAGATTATCAGATTCACTGAGATCCATTTCAACAAAGGTAAAATTTAAACCCACACAACCCTCACATCCTCAAAGAAAAACAAAAACTGGGTTAGATGCAAATTAGCTGCTAGCTATTATATAAAGATCAAAAGTAGACCACCTCTTAATAGCTGTGCGGAACTGACTACACAAGAACATCTTAGCACATCTTGAGTAAACCTGCCATCCTTCCTCCTTTGGCCTCCACAGAGAGTTCACAAAGAGATTGAAGAGTTTTATAACATCATTAGTCAATTTTCCCTACTGCAGATTTTGGTAACGTAATACACAGCCAACATCTAGAGCATTCAAGATTAAATAACCTTCAAATTTCTAGTCTCAAAATTTAGCGTGCATCAGAATCAAATAAAGCACAGATGGCTGCACCCAATCCCCAGAGTTTCTCATTCAGTAGGTCTGGGGTGAGGCCTGAACATCTGTATTTCTAACAAGTTCCCAGAAGATACTGCTTCTGCAAAATACTATTTGTAATAGTAGAAAGCAATCCTACTAATTAATAGCCTGGAAGTAACTTAAAGTATCATAAAGATAGCTAAATAAACTATGTAATTGATTATTACATAGCTATAGAATGGTATAAGGAGACACACACAGTGCTATAAGCTGAGTGAAAAAAGTAAAATACAGAACAGTGTAAATAAGTCATTAACATTTTATGCAAGAAGTAAGATAAAAATGAATGCATGTGTGTTAACTTATATTTTTAAAAAGGAAGAATAATCCAAAAACCAATTGAAATGATTGTTTACAGGTTTTGGAACCATGAAGATTTTTTCATAATTACAGAACAAAATTAATTCAAAAAGAAAAAAGGGCAGGGCTCGGTGGATCAGCCTGTAATCCCAGCACCTTGAAAGGCCGAGGCGAGTGAATTGCCTGAGCCTACAGGTTCGAAATCAGCCCAGGCAACTTGGCAAGACCTCATCTCTACAATAAATAAAAAATTAGCCAGGCGTGGTAGCGCGTGCCTGTAGTTCTGGCTATTTGGAAGGCTGAGATGGAAGGATCTCTGGAGACCAGTAGGTCGGTGCTGGGATGGCCATGAGCGTGCCACTGTACTCCAACCTGGGCGACGGAATGAGACTCCAACTCAAATAAATAAATAAACAAACAAATAAAAGAAGGGAGACAGAACACAGGGTCAAAAAACATTCATGCCATCCATGTTATTCTCCCAATGCCACAGAAGAATGAGCTCCAACTCTCATATTATAAATATACATCTCTAATTATCAAGTGTCCCAAATGATAATTAAGGACAAAGATGGCTAAATTATCACCACCTCCATAAGTTACTGCTACAGAATGGAGACAAACTTTAGACTGGCAATAACTAACTGACATTCTTTTATCGCACATACAGTATGCAAAAGCCATCTACTGTTGTTATAATACTTTTTATTTATTTAGACCTGTGCCGTACAGTATGGTGGCCACTAGTCATATATAACTCTTGAAATATAACTAGTCCAGTTGAGATGTGCTGAAAGTATAAAACCAGATTTCCAATTTCAAAGATTTAGCTCAATATAAAATATTTCATTAATTTTTATGTTGGCAATGAGTTGAAATGATAAGATTTTATATATGGAGTAAAGTAAAATATATGAAAATTAATTTAAACTGGTTTTTATTTTTATTAATGTGGCTACTAAAAAATTTTAAATTATGTATGCAGCTCAAATACTTCTAGTGGACAGTATTGCTCCAGGCATTACAACTTACTTAAGACTGACTTATAGTATAATTTCACTTTCATTCATTTGGACAAATTTCAATTATGTTAGCAAAAGGGGAAAAGAGCCTCAGACTTAAATTTCCTCTAAGATTTTCAAAATTATAAAGAATAACAAGAGACCTAATCAGAAGCTTCCCAGTCCAGTATTTTTATATAACATAGTTGCAAACTTTCACCATCACTTTCTTTTTTTTTTTTTTTTTTTGTTGAGTTGGAGTCTCACTCTGTCGCCCAGACTGGAGTGCAGTGGCTGCTCCTGGCCACCGCAACCCAACCTGCTGGGCTCCGGCGATCCTTCCGCCTCAGCCTTCCGAGTAGCTGGAATTACAGGCACGCGTCATCACTTTCTTTATACTTTTTCTCATGAGATATCAGAAGGCCATATTTGGAATGTATTACAACAAACAGTTATTAGAAAATGCGTATTGGCTGGGCTCGGTAGCTTAGCCTGTAAGTCCAGCACTTTGGGAGGCTGAGGCCAAGTAGGCTGCCTGAGCCTGCAGATTCGAGACCAGCCTGCGCTACTTGGCGAGACCTCATCTCTACAATAAAACAAAAAATGAGCCAGGCATGGTAGTGCACATCTGTAGTTCCGGCTACTTGGAAGGCTGAGGCGGAAGGATTGCTGGAGCCTAGCAGGTCGATGATGGGGTGGCTGTGAGCATGCCACTGCACTCCAGCCTGGGCAACAGAGTGAGACTCCAACTCAAAAAAAAAGCGCATATTTACCATTCCGTGAAGGAAGCCTACAGAAAACGGAAGAAGACCACAGCAAAGATAGATTCAAAGAAGGAAAGAAAATTAATCTAGGTTAGTATGATACTAGACTCTTTAATTATCTCATATAATCCACAGAAGAGCTCTATGACTTAAGTTCTATATCCTTTCTTTCACTGCTGAGAATACTGGCTCAGAGATGTTTAATAATTTGCCCAAGTCATAAAGCCAATAAGTGACATGGTCAGGATTCAAATCCAAAAACCAAGTTGTTGGAAGAAAGTGTAATGAAGAAAACAAATTTACATTTAAAACTACATTTCCTCAAAAGAAAAAAATGAATTAAACATTATGTTGCTCTACAAAACTTAATTAGAATACTCTTCCAATAGCTCTACTTAGTTCATTCAATATTATACACTAGACTAGGCAACTTGATTAAACAAAAAAGGCCCCAAACTGAGAGGTCTGGTCTCAGAGTTAACTTTTCCCCCTATTCTATAATTCTCAGATACTACAATAATATGAATTTAATCAGTACTAAGAAATTCATTTACCTGGAACAGTACTACAGTTTCTAAATACCCCAATCATTTTTTTTTAAAAAAAGGAACTACCCATTAAAAATGTCTCAGCAAGACTCTAAGACAACAATGCAGTTAGCAAATCTTTTATAAATCATTATAATAAGTGCTTAATAATTACTAAGAGTTGTTCAATAAATCATGATTTTGAGAAATTCATATAATGGCAAGAATGGTAACAGTCTTACTGAAACCTACAAGAGATACACGAACTCATTTCTTATATGCACAAATCAGTTCTTAGTAAATTAGGAACATAACTAAAATGATCATACCCAGGCAGATTTACTTCACAGGTAGGCATCTGATAGACAGTGCAACTTGAAAGTAAAACAATATAATCCCGCGCCTTTGGGAGGCTGAGGTGAGTGGATTGCCTGAGCCCGCAGGTTCGAGACCCGCCTGGGCAGCAAGACCTCATCTCTACAATAAATCAAAAAATCAGCTGGGCGTGGTAGCGCGTGCCTGTAATTCCGGCTACTCGGAAGGCTGAGGCGGAAGGATTGCCGGAGCCCAGCAGGCGAGGCTGCGGTGGCCGGGAGCGGCCACTGCACTCCAGTCTGGGCGACAGAGTGAGACTCCAACTCAAAAAAAAAAAAAAAAAAAGAAAGTAAAACAAAACCCCTTAAGTTGCACTATTTGTCCACATTAACATTAGCATTATATAGCCCCCCCCCAAATAATAATTTCAGTATCTAGTATTCTCTATAGATTCTAGAAGAAGAATTCTTTGGAAGCAAAACATAATCTATGAATATAATTTGGTAAAAATTTCCTCCAGATAATTAATGATCTAACTAAATAAACTAAATAATATAAAAAGCAAGAAATTCTACTTTCTTAGCCTATAGTCAGAAGGAAATTGAGAGGTCTGGTTCTTTCTTTCTTTCTTTATTTATTTTTTGAGTTGGAGTCTCACTCTGTCGCCCGGACTGGAGTGCAGTGGCCACTCCCAGCTACCACAGCCTCGACCTGCTGGGCTCCAGCGATCCTTCCGCCTCAGCCTTCCGAGTAGCTGGAACTACAGGCGTGCACTACCACGTCCGGCTGATTTTTTGATTTATTGTAGAGATGAGGTCTCACTGCCCAAGCAGGTCTCAAACCCGCAGGCTCAGGCAATCCACTCACCTCAGTCTCCCAAAGGCGCGGGATGACAGGCTGAGCCACCGAGCCCGGCAGTCTGGTTCTTTCTTAATTTCATTATTTATTGTCAGCAGCATTTATGAGAAATTATTTCACATCATTATCCTTATCAAAGCCATTCCATGGAATAGTTTGAGTCCAAGTTCTGTCACTCCTGGGTAAACTTAGAAAAATTAAACTGTGCCTGAATTTCTGTATCTATAAAATGAGGGGATGAACGTTAGTAACACATATACATTCTGCCTCAAATTCTGCACTTGGGGGAACTGAGGAAGGCAGGCCAGGCCTTGTCTTCTCAGGAAGTTTTGCTTCTGCAATACGAAATACATGCTGTTCCTGTTTAACATCAAAGCATTTATCATAAATTATGTCTCCCAACTAAGGTGTGGTTTCTTTGACATCAGAGACTTCTATTTATTGTGTCTCCCTAGTGACTTGTATCATAGTATCTGACTGATTTGGGGAGCTCCATAAATTTACGCTAAATAAATCACCTACTCTTATCTCATCTTCACTGGTAACAATCTCTTGAAGACAACTGGTTTGGTCCTCTGTAACCGCTAATGCAGTCACAGGAATCACACAAAATTTTAAGTAGCTATAGATATCTAATTAACTGATAAACTCTGCATTTTAAGTATAATGGCT